GCTGATCAAGAAGCAGCAAAGGCTTTGATGGTTCAAATCCACCAGCTGCTCCACGGGAGAAAGGTGACCAGTCTTCAGAGGAACCAGATGAAGGGCCGCTGAGTTAGTTTACTTGATGGCATCAAGCGAGTGTGAGTGTGAAGGGCTCCTGTGGTGGTGGTGTGTTATATGTCAGTCTGCTCACTGAAAGGCCAGCAGTTCAAATCCACCAGCTGCTCCACGGGAGAAAGCTGAGCAGTTTCCTTCGTAAAGATACCCAGCCGAGGAACCGATGGACGGCCACTGAGTGGGAATTGACTCCATGGTGCTGCAGACGATGGGATCGCGGTGTGCTGGTGAACGCCCTCACTGCTAGCCAGAGGGTCAGTGGTTCAAACCCACAGTCTGCTCCACAGCTTAGCGATGAGGCAGTCTGTGTCTGTAAAGATGACGGAAACCTATGGGGCGGTGAGTTCCTCTCTGTCCTGTCACGTAACTCAGTGTGATCGAATGCCAAGACAGTGGGTTTGGGTTTTATATTTTGAATGTTGGGAGGGAAGAAGGTACAAACCAGTTACCGGTAAAACAGACACAGATTAGCGCCCAGCAGGTGAGGCCTGGCGTGAGGATCCTGGTCTGCAGGACTCCAGGTTCTACTGCCAGCACTGTGGTCAGGGGGCAGGAGAAGCAGGGACAGCATCTGCCCATGGGCAGGGAGTGCAAGGACGTGTTTGGGGGAAGCCCTCCTCCCCTTCACTGCCCCTGCCCCTCTTAGAGCCGTGATGCCGGTGTCTGGGGCTGGACTCCATCTGTTAGCATGCCAGTGGATGGAGGTGGGGCTGGATGAGCAGAAGATGGTGACGTTCCCAGAGGGAGACAGACGTGAAAACCTTGGCTTGTTACACTGTATCCTCTTAGCTATTACTGTTACAATGCAGACCAAAGTGATCTGCAACTTGGTTCTGGGAAGGTGATTTTATGATGTATTTAATCAAGTCTTCATCTCTGAGGAGCCAGCAGCCTCTCTTTCCCCCACCCCCACATACATATGTACATACACCATACACACGAGTCTCGTCACACTGATCCCAGATGTTGGCTCCAAGACCCCCTCGTAGCAGCCCCCCACGTGGTCTCCAGCCCAGTAAACATTGCATCACAGTGTGAGCTGGGTGGGGTGGGGCAGCGACCTCCCCAACAGTGGCCCAAGAACAAGGTTCTTTTAACGTGATATCAGCAGATACATCTTCAAAGTAGGATAGATGGTTCATTTAAGAGGGTTTTATCATCAGTGTCTCTGATATTCAAGTGAAATAAATTACGTTAATGGGAAGCTCTTTTACAGCCTGTCATGGAAAAAAGTGTATAATTTCTGTCACAATTTGCATGTATTGAGCTGAAAGAAGAAAGGATTAACAGCATTTATTCTATTATGGTCTCATAAAGTTTCCACTAACGGGCTATAGCAAAATCGAATTCCACATGAGAAGATACTGGTAGTAGCTGAGAAATGCACTTTGGCCCTGACACAGGGTCTGGGTTCAACAGTGTGTACACTGTGTGTTAGGTGAGTTGGCTGACAGTGACCCCAAGCACAGAGGAATAAAACTGTCTACTTCTGCTTTCATAGGGTCGCTGTGAGTCGTCTGTGACTCGATGGCACCTAACACCACCAACACCAGCACGACTCCTGCATTATCCTCCCAGTGCCTGTGTTGTGCTTTTCAGCCCATGTGCGGTCCGTGTCAGGTCATCTCACTGAACAACTTCCTCTCGCTCACGGACCCTCCCCTTTTCCTAACACGATGTCCTTCCCTCAGGACGGGCACCTCCTGGTGTGTCCCAAGTACAGGAGGTGAAATGCTACCATTCTCTGTCTCTAAGAAGTGCCCTGGCTACACTTATTCCAAGAAAGTGTGTTCTTTTGTCGGTCCATGATACGTTCAACTTTTTTATGGCAAACACCATCATTCAGAGACATCAGTTCTGGGGAAGGGTAGGGTGGGTGGGGTGGGATGAAGAAAAAGGCAAAGATCTGGTTTGAAAAACAATGTTTTCAAACTTTTTTTTTTTTTTTTCGTTGCAGAAGCTTTATTGAACAAAAGAAAATGGCGAAATGCCAATGTTTTCAAACTTTGTAAATAAACCAGTATAAAATAAAAAAAGTCACAGACACCGTTCTTCTGTAGTCTTTATTCATTGTCTGCCCTTCACTTGCTTTTGAAGCCACTGAAGATGCCGTGGCGTGGCCGCCGTGTACTCTAACACCCTTGCTCGTGAGGAGACCTTGACGGTAGATTTGCCCAGGACAACATGCCTTGATTTCTTGACCAGTGCTTCCACAGGTGTTGACTATGGATCCAAACAAAATTGGGTTTTTTACAGCTAAGATCTTTTTTCCCTTTCTTGTGGTCATGCTGGGAGGAGTGTGTTTTCTTTGAGCTGAGGTATGGCCAGTACTGAAGGCTGTAGTCTTTGATCATTTCAGGAAGTGCTTCAGGTCCTCTTCTCTCTCCCACGTCAGACAGTTGACATCCCTCATGGCTGAGAGCTTTATTCCATCCCTTTCAGCGTCCATCCCAGTTGTATCTTAAGTACTTTCCACCGTGAGCTGCTCATCCCCCAACTCTACACGGGTCTCTCTTCCACAGCGCTTCCCAGGCTTCCCAGGTTCCTTACTTTGGAAATAGAGAGCTAGTCAGTCCTGCTTCCAAGGCTGCCTTATGTCTGGAGGCTCTCTCAGCGCTCTGCTGAGGTGTGCCTGGCCGGTAGCAGTAGGCAGACCAGCACAGTGCGCGGCAGGCTGCCAGGTGAGTGGTGGGAGGGACACTAAGGCGTGTGCATTTCAGTGTCTGCTTGACATCCGACTCCAGGCGCTCTTGCTGGTTTGGGAGAACTGGCAGTTGGGTGGCAGATTCCTCCGTTTCCACTTCCTGCTTTAGGTGGTAGGGTGTGTCCTGAGAATTCCCACACAGGGAAGACTCAGGACCCCGTCATGCTCTTAAAAATACAAGACCTAAAGAGCTTTTTATTTGGAGGTTGAATCAGTATATCATCGTTTTTCAGGGTAAAGTGAGAAATTCATCAATCTCATTAGCATAAAAGACATTTTCTTTTTTTTTTAATTATTAATCTCAGTGAAAATTTACAGAGACTTTGCATTTCCATTCATTCATTGTTGCACTTTTCTCCCCTCCCAACCTTCCCCCCCAGTACACTACCCTCTTGGAAAAGTAGAAGAAAAATTCTTTCATTGTTTTACAATCCCTCCCTCCAGGTCCACTCCACTATGCAGCCTTCGCTCTGGACTCCCATCAGGACAAAAAAAACTAACCACGTATCCCTTTTAAACAGTTTTCTCCTTCATCTGTTTCAGTGCAGTATACATTAATTAACCCATCTTTCTCAGTCTCCCCCCAATCCCAATGTCAGTCCTGTTTTACAACAGTGGCACTATGCAGTATTTGTCCTTTTGTGACTGAGATACTTCACTCAGCATAATGTCCTCCAGGGTTACCCATTTTGAATAATATTGCATGAGTTCCTTGTTTTTCAGTGCAGCATAGTATTCCATTGTGTGGATACACCACAGCTTCTCTATCCACTCGTTTGTTGAGGGACAAAAGACATTTTCAATGAAAAAAACTATTTCCAAAAAGAAGACCGGTTGAGAGGACTGATTTGCGGGTCTCTTCAGTGTCTGAGAGAAGAAACAGGCCTGAATTCCCACGCTTGAGTTGTGTCTGCCCTGTGGTGACGCACTGTGCTGAGGAAAGGGTTGACGCACAGAGGAGCTGGAGAGGGAGGAGTGTGACTTCATAGCTTTTCCAGATGATAGAGTTTTGGATACTATGCTCTGATCTTATACCCGAGCTCGTCAAGGGGGGGTTTTGTACAAGTCGTGCAGTGTGAAATCTGAGTGTGCCGGTGACTTTTTACACTTGGTAAACATTGAAATAACGTTGTCTGTATTGTGCGTCGGGTGGTAGGACATTTGGAAGCTCGAGTTCATGGACTTCTCACAGCCCTCCCGAGTGTCAGCACGTGTTCTTGCACAAGCTCGGGAAATCTCATTCATTGGCCTCTGCTGGTCTCATCCGAAGTGGCCGACTGGGGAGACGGTCAAGGGTGATGACAGGAATGTTCCCTAGCTCCCAGATTTTGCTTGAAAGCCTGTGCGTTCTCACCAGCAGCAGTCGCCCTGCCAGGGGTTTTTCTTGAAGTGGCAGGTTCATCAGGCTTGTCTGCTGGGATACGTCTTCCCTACACCCAGATCTGTACGGACCACATTTGTCGTTGAGTTGTTCTTAGGAGGAAACGTGAAAGACCCTGAGAAGGCGTCCCGTCAGCCCGCAGCGACTGCACATGTGCTTCCCCCAGACACTGGCAGAGAGCTCTGCACCCACCAGGACATTAGGCGAGAACAGCAAGCTTTGAGCGTCACTGAGCTGTTCTCAAGTGAGAAGAGCCCCGCTCCCTGTGGGAGCGGGAGTGTGTGGTAGTGAGGGACTGTGCTGGCTGGTGTTGGCCTGGTCTGCTGGGCTCCAGCCCAGGGAGAAGGGAGACAGCCCCGAGTGCTGCTGCCTCCCGGCAGAGGCCTGGGAGAACATGCTGTGGAAGTCTGAACCCTGCCGTTGGAGCCTGGGGGGGACCCGCATGAAACCTCATAGCCTTGCTTGGCCTTCCGTTTCATGCAAAAGTGGAGGGATGGGCCTGGGCGGTTCCTGACTCGTCCCCAGCCCCTGGGGTCATTCTAGAGTGTCTGGCTGGCTCACCTCTTCTGTGTGTGTGTAGCCCATGTGGTTAAGGCCCTGCCCGGCCCCGCTGTTCACCTGGGCAGATCTGCAGCTGCAGGCCTCTGGTGTGTGATGTGCAGGCGTGAGAAGGGCTGCTGGGCCTGCCCTGCTCACCTTCCTGGGGCACGGGGGGGCTCAACTCCTTCACCACCAGGACACGCACTGTGGGGCAGACGCTGCAGGAACCGTGCTCTGACCTTCCTAATGAAATATTTTCTTTCTCAGTGATGTTGCAGCCTTTCGATTATGATCCCAATGAGAAAAGTAAACACAAGTTTATGGTTCAGTCTATGTTTGCGCCAAGTGACACTTCTGATATGGAAGCAGTAGTAAGTACTGAATGCTTCTTATTTTTCTCAGCAATTAAACCAAAAAGAACTAGCAGTCAGGTGCAGAGCTGTGGATGCATGCATTGACAATTGCCTTGGTTGCTCCTCGGGGCTGGGCTTACCCGGGAGTCTGTGCTTGATCCCCTTTAGACCTTCGCTAACACTTGGATGAATAATTTTACCATTGTGCACACTTTCCTTTTTTAAAATACTTTATTAGTTTCTGTAATCAAACTTTGCTGTAGCGATTCTCTGCTGTGCTGGATGGGTGGTATCTGAAAAGGTGCAGGCGGCTCCACTCCCCTCACCCCTGCCTCTTGCAGCAGTGGGAGCTGATTATGAGGAGTGCTTCCTGGCCTTCTCACCCGCCCAGGCAGGGGGACGGAGTCCACTCCTCACTGCCCTCCACCCCTCTTGCTTTGCCCGGCCTCCTTTCTTTCTCCCAGGCTTGTTAATGCACGCTCAAACCTGTATCTCTCTTTGGTAAGAATATCTTCATTTTATAAAATAGATAAGTGATAGTACTGATATTTCTAACGGGCAAGGAGTTGTCCTTCCACACCAGAGGCAAGCAGATCGACCCCATGGGCAGTTCTGCAGCAGGGAGCACCGGCCACCTCCTGGACGATTCATGGTCTGAAACCTGCCAGAGACTCAGCTGTGAGTCGGTTCTGACTTGACAGCAGTGAGTTTTGATTAGAGTTTTGAGTAGGAATTTGCCCCTTAGGAAGGGTTCTTCCATTTGGTTAAGTCAGCAGGCCTGGGACTGTGAGGAAATCACAGTGGACAGCCAGGTCTGAGTTCCTGCCCAGCCAGGACACTTTGGTCCTCACAGCTGGGGGGAGAGGAAGCACCCCCACTTGCCAGCCCAACTCAACACTTCAGTCCTTTGAGAGTGTTTGCCCTTTTGGATTGGCTGCTGTTCACTCCGCACTGTGGATGTCTGTCCTCTCTGGTTGGTGTCCCCAGTCCACAGTCCTTGGGAAGACCACGCTCCGTGGTCACTGAGGGTTACCTTTAGGCTGGAAATGAAGGCTCAGCTGTGTCTTTCCCGGCTTGAGAGCACTCTGACCACAGGGCTACTTCTCACGAGAAGGGTCGCTCGGACTTTGTGGCTCTTTATTTCCTGGGCAGTGATGTGTCCCTTCCTGTCATTTTTGCCTTGTCAGGCAGACACAGAATAGGAACTGCCCACGAGTGCGTTCTAGTTCGCTTCTGCTGCAGGAGGTTGTGAAAAGGCAGGGTGGACGAGGCTTCCAGACCCGTAGCCCAGTCCTGCCGTCGGCAGTGTCCCGAGCCTCCTGGACAAAGATGATGAGCTCGCATGGCTGTGAGCGAAACGTCTCACAGTCCACTTCTTGTGGACAGGACACCTCCCATAGAAAGGACGTTTCCAGTAGAAAAGGCACCTCACAGGATACCCCCTCGTAGGAAGGACACCCCTTATAGAAAGGCGGTGTGTCCCCACCTGGCTTTGTGGTAATAAGCTTGGTGCTGTCAATCCCAGTTACTCAGGAAATGTTCAGGGTTTTTAATTTTATGATTATTTTTATAATACTTTGAGGTGGAAGGGTCGTTCCCCCCCCCCAAGTGCTCAAAATTTAGGACACTTTGGGAATATATGTTGTTGTTGTTTGATGCAGTCGAGTCGTAGGCGACTCATAGCGACCCTATGAACGAACGGCCTGAGCACTGTTTGTACGTAGAGTTTCCGGAGGCAAGCCATTTCAGAAGTGGATTGGAAATACATAAGTGAACAATAACCACCACAGAATACAAACAGCCTGTAATTCTAGACAGCAACCAAAAGGAGCACAAGACCCCTAGCCATTGAGTCAGTGGTGACTTGTCGCAGCCCCAGGACAGGGTCCAGCTGCCCGTCGGCTTCCCAGGCTCTCCTTTACAGGAGGAGGCTTTGCTCAGCTTCTTGCCTCAGAGTGTCTGCTGGTTTCAAACCACACACCTTTCAGTTAGAAGCTAAGCACATAACCGCTGTGCCACTGGGGCTCCCGGGTACTAGCGTGACTGCTCCAGGGAGAACCTTGTGCTTTTTCATGATTTTAATTGTTTTTCTTTTGGTGGTCAGTGAGCACTGGTAGCCTGTGCTAGACCCGCCCTTTGCTAGCCTCCCGCACCCTTCCTTCCTCACTGGCACGTTTCCTCTCCGCTGACCTGACTTGTTTGAGAGTTAGCTGTGGAATTCTCGACACGCCACGTTTTGTGTGCCCACAGTACTGTCCACACACTTGAAAGTGGATGTTCCTTCCATCATAGTACTGCCTGGTCGAGAAGGCCTTCCTCGGAATGTTCTGGAGTTGGAAAGCCCTTTCACAGTTGTTCTGCTGAAAGAGCCGTTCCTGCCTCCAACCCATTTTTCCCAAGTCTGCGGGTTTTTTCGAGTGCAGATCTGCCAGTCTCTGGGACATCCCGCTTGGATGCTTGCTGAGCACCCTCACGAGGGTTCTTGGTCGAGAACATCCCACAGCAGTGTCCTGCAGGACTGCTTTCAGCCTTCCATCAAAGGCGTTTCATGCCCGCTGTCCATCTCTCGGTGACGCTGACTTTGACAAGGGGGCAGAGTCTCACTGTCAGCTCACCTGTGGCAGAGGGTGGTCTCCCTCGGCAGGATCTGGCCCTCTGAGGCCACCAGCCCCAGGTGGCTTTGGCATGCCAGGGTGGGCCTCGCTGACACCTTTTGTTCCCTGTGGACAGGACCCACCTGGGCCTGCCCCTGGGCATCCCTCGTGCATGCTCTGCAGAGGCTGGACGGGCAGTGTGCTGTAGCCCGTTCCGCCCGGGGCCCTTAGGACTTACACTGGGCTAGCTGTCTCCTGCATGGCTGCTGGGCGCCGGACTCTCCCCTTCTCTTTTGTAACCTTGCTGCTCTGGGGTCCTCAGCTTTTGCCCCATCAACCTGCCTGCTGTCTAGGAACAGACCATCCCAGTGCTTGGGGTGTGGGCTAGAAGGCACTCACAGACTGGAGGGAGTGGACATGGCCTAGGGGTAGAAGTGACCACTCCCGCCTTGTAGAAGGGGTGCTGGAAAGTAGGGCACATGGCTCTGCAGAGACTCAAGAGGCCCCACTCCCCAGAGTGCTACCCCTGTTCATATGCCCCCTCAGCCACATGTCCCCCTGTCCGTATGTTCTGGGCCCACAGCTCCAGGAGAATGCTGGCTCTCAGCAATGCAGTGTCTGTGCTGGGTCATGAATATTCAGAAAAGCTAGTGCATTCAATCTTGTCATGTTCAAGATATTAAAATCTCAGCAGACTTAAGTTCTTGATTTGATAGACATCAGGGCTTTCTCATTCTGAGTGTCTTTCAGTTATAAATTGTCAGTTATAGGAAGAAAATTATTCTTCTAGCCGCTTCATAATATCCTGATTATTAAATTTAAATTGTTTTAGTGGAAGGAGGCAAAACCGGAAGACCTTATGGATTCAAAACTTAGATGTGTGTTTGAATTGCCAGCAGAAAATGATAAACCAGTAAGTATGTTTATAGTTAACAGTAATTGAATGTTGCAAACTGATGCTTATTTGCATACCATCTTCTGCAAGACCCAGATTGAAGCTGACAAATTATTTTCCTTTCTCTGATGGATGAAGAAAAAAATCAGCCAAAGTTAACAAGTAAGTGGGCCTTTGTGGCATCAGCCTTTGAAAGACTTGCAGAAAGACGGCTAATTGAAGTGGTTCATTCCCTGGAAATTGCAGCCTTCTGGGTCCCTCTGCCCCACAGTGGCTCGGCGAGTGCCTTTAGTCACGGCGGCAGGGTCAAGCCAGGGCTCATTGATCCTTGACTGGAGCTAGGTGGTGGCGAGCACCAAGGTTCTTCCTCATGGCGCCCATCTTCCACCTCCTTCTCCAGGGCCTGTCCCTTGCCATCTGCCTCTGGTCACACTGCTGCTGATATTGGGGACAAGCAGGTCTTTGCTTGGGGGACTGGCCTGTGTGTGCCGCTAGTGCCCGTTCCACACCACCACCAAGCTGTGACAATCAAGCATGTCTCCAGACCTGTCACAGCATGCCAGGGGCCAGAGTCAGCCCACCCTCTACCCCCAGCCCCATTCCAGTGAGCCCTGTGCTTGGAGGGGCCCTGGGAGCCCCTCTGCACGTGTGGCTCACTGTTTTTCTGGGAAACCTGGGCCTCACCTGCCATGGCCCTGGCTTGTGACCTGTGGAAGAGGGAAGACTGGATCGAGACGCCTCTGTGGAGTCTCTTGCAGCCCCGTCAGAATCCTTATGTTTAGAGCATGAGGAGTTTGAAGGCAAGGAGAGGATGACCCGCTGAGGCACCAGCAGCTGGAATGGGTGGGGGCTGAGCCCCTAAACCTGCAAGCACCTCCCATCATTTCAGGAATCCTGGTGTCCACAGTGCTGAGTGGCCGACCAGTGTCACTGTCCCAGCTGTTTGAATGAGTCCGTGGTCCTTTTTCCTCCTGTGTCCTGTGAGCACTGGGATGACCTCACACCGGCCTGTGCCTGGCCTCTCCCTTCATTGCTGTGACCTGGAGGTGGCGAGCCAGCACAGGGCCCATCCTTTATGTCGCGGCACACCTGAGAGGTCTGTGCCCTCCCAGCGCCCATCCTCCCTCCTAGGCCAAGGGCACAGTCATGGTGGGACAAAGGCATCCTGTTTGCAAAGCCACCATTGCCCGTGTGGCGTGTGAGCAGGACAAATCTCTTCACCCTCGTGTCCACCTCCACGTCTTCAGTTGACGGATCGACTTGTCCTGCGGAACGCCCTTGCCAGCCTCCAGGGCTCTGAACCAGTTCAGCACGGCAGAAGCAGAGTCGCATCCCTGGCCTGTGGGGGCTGGACCTGCGCCCGAAGCATTTGTGAGCTGTGCTGACACAGTCCTGGCAAACTGGTCCCGTCCACCAGCGCCTCTGAGGAGGGACATGGGCAGTCTCCTTCCCTTAGGACATACAGCCTTGGAAACCCATGGAGGGTCGTGTGCGTCAGAACCGGCTGGACACGTGGGGGAAACGGAGGCATGAGTGCGCCATGCTGAGTGTGGGCCATGGCACCTCCTCGAGTCAGATCCCCACGTGCACGCAGCTAAGCCTGACAGGCCACGCAGAGCCATCAGATGCCCTGCTGACCAGCACTGCCAGCCAACCGGTCCTGGTGATGGTCCCTGAGGTGACGCACGGGTGCATGGCCAGGGTCGGCTGGTGCCATGTGTGGGCCCTCAATCCCAGGGTCAGCCGGGGTGCCGTGTACAGGCCCCCGCTCCCCAGGGTCGGCTGGTGCCATGTGTGGGCCCTCAATCCCAGGGTCAGCCGGGGTGCCGTGTATGGGTCCCCATTCCCCAGGGTCAGCCAATGACATGTGTGGGCCCTCAATCCCAGGGTCTGCCTCAGTCCCCAGGGTCGGCCCGTGCCGTGTGCGGCCCTCGCTCCCTTCTTGAAGGATTATTCTCAACTGAACTTCATTATCTGGCCTCATCCATAATTTCTGGGGCCTAGTTGCTTCAGATTATTAAGACACTAGATGAAGTGATCCATTTTTAAAATAAATGGGACGCTTTGCAGGGTGGCTGCGATGCCCACACTGCGGTGTTTGCTGAGAACTACTTTGCTTTGCATAAAAAAGTCCTTTATTACAGAGTTGGTGACACTTGGGCTTTCATTTATTTCTGAACAGCATGATGTAGAAATAAATAAAATTATATCCACAACTGCATCCAAGACAGAAACCCCAGCAGTGTCCAAGTCCCTGAGCGCCTCTCTGGATGACACTGAGGTCAAGAAGGTGGTGGAAGAGTGCAAGAGGCTGCAAGGGGAGGTGCAGCGGCTGCGTGAGGAGAACAGGCACCTGAAGGTAACATCCGCTTCCCAGGGTCAGGGTGCCGGGGCCCCTCCTCAGCCCCTCCCCACCAGATCGTGCGGTGGCCACAGGGCACAGGAGGCCAGAAGTCACCTAGCTTTTGTCCGCTTCCTGAAAGGGCCTGAGGTTGTCCTCCCCCTCCCTGAGTTTCAAACCAGCTCCCCTGAAGCTGAGTCTGACAGCTGTCGAAGGGCTTGTCCCCTTTGGGAGCAGCCAGCTCCCATCATCAGGGTGCAAATTCAAAGTAAGTTTTAAGATTAAAAATAAGGACAGCAAGGGGCTGCTGAACATGTGTCTTCAGACCCCACAGCACCCCATTTGCTCAAGGGAGTTTGCGTTCGGCTCTGCATGTCGTGAATGTGGGGGCTGAGATCTGGGGCCTGACGAGTGATGGTGAGGAGAGAGGGAGAAAGATGGCAGGGTCCCAAGAGGCTAGGATTAGCGGACACCCCAAGTCTATCTTGCTAACACTGACCACAGAGCCAGCTGGCCCCAGCCAATGTTGGGTCAGGGCGCCTCGGTGGTGACAGGGACATCGACGGCACAGATTCCTGGAAAGACCAGCTTGACTGCAGGTGGGTCGCAGCGGCCCAGGCCACGGTTGCCCCGCGCAGGCCTGGTGATGAAGGCACTTCGGAATGACTGACTACAAGAACTTTGGTTGCAGCTTCACTTTTTAGGCCCATCTGTTCTCTCAATCTTGACTGTACCTCCCAGGCAGGTAATCGGTTTTTACCCTTTAACTGGCAGAGCCCCTGCTCTGTGCAATCAGTTCTCCTCGGCCGGCTCTGCCGGCCCCTCTGGTCGCACACTGCAGACGCCGGGGGACGGCAGCCTCGGGCGGGCGGCACTGTCCCATCCCGTGCAGCAAGGCCCCCCCTGCCCTGCACGGAATCGCTCCTGAAGTCCATGCTTCCCTCTGGGCCTGAAGGTCTGAGAAGCGCCTGAAGCACCTCTTGAGCCATGTCTTCAGATCCAGACCTCTGAGCGATGTACAGTGACAAATAGTAGAAATAGCCTCTACATAAACCCAATAAAATAAATGCTATACTTTTTAAAAAGGTTCCATCTAGTGCCACCAGTCCTTGGTCAGTGTGGCCGTCTTGGCTGTGCCCATGAGTAGAATCTCAAATGTCATCAAGCCAGGCCTTTATGCTGCCAAACACAGAGTCCCTGCCCTGCGCTGGCTCCGCCTTCCCTGGGGCCAGCATGGTCATGGGTGGAGGGACAGGCTGTCCTCACAAACCAGAGTGGCCGTGGTCTCAGGCCAATGCTGCATAGCGGAGCCTCCAAGTGCCTTGTTGCTTGGGGCCTGTGAGACCCTGGGGGCCCAGGAGTGGACAGAAGGAAAACACGACGAGGAAGTGGCGCTGTGGACAGGCTTAGGGCTGGGCCTAGAGGACAGAACCGCAGGGGTCTGCTGGCTTGCAGGTGGGCCAGCAGGGCAGCTCACAGACGTCGGTTGGGAGAACTGGCCATGCAGGAAGGCCATAATCCAGGTCCTGTCTCAGACAAGTCAGGGGACCACCAATAGTCCCCACCAGGCCTCCTCAGACCTATGAAGTAGCTTGCAGATAACTGACGGGGTAGTGGGAGGCAGAGGCAAGAACAGCTTCCAGGCCTTCCCCACGGTGTACGTGGGGTAACCTCGGTGTGCGTGGGGTATCTCCGGGTGTCTGTAGGTGTGGATTCAGGTGCTATGTCTGTTGGGGGTGGTCTGTTGTTACCACTGCCACCCAGTCAGGTCCATCATGTCTCTGGAGAATGCCTGTCTTTCTCCTGTGGGATGGCTAGTGGATTTGAACCATTGACCTTGAGGTTAGTGGCACTTAGAAAATATTTGAGATGTGTGACATATTTACATAGTCATATTTAGGACCTGGGCCAGATGGTGGGGTTTTCGTCCGCACAGTCTCCTTAGCCAGCAGCTGGGTGTAGAGCTGTGTAGAGAGCGTGTGTGGACCCCTTGTGTGTGTCCGGAGATGTGTCCGAATACCTTGCGGCCTTAGGCTGGCAGAAGCAGGGTGGGGGCTGAAGTGGGTGTCAGTAGGTGGGCAGTTGGGGCTGTGCAGGGCTTCACTCACTGGGGTCCAGATTAGATCTGCATTCCTGCAGGTGAGCCACAGGTCAGTCAGGTTGACAGGGCCTCCCCCACGGCCTCCCGGGTCTCTGTTGTGGGATGAGAACACTTTGACTCCCGAGTGACCTGCATGCAGCTAGGGCAGAAACGGTCCCCCTCCTCCAGGTAGACCGGGCCCCCAGTAGTTAGCACCCCTGATCGGTGGATCCCCCTCTAGCTGCACCCCTGCTACCTGGGTCCCCGCAGCCCTGCTGGGTCGGCGCCGGCACGGTCGGTACTGAGCCTGCTCTTGTTCCTGCAGGACGACGACGGCTCCGGGCTCCGGATGAGGAAGAGCGCGCAGAGCAGCAGCCCGGGGCCTGCGCCCGCCCCGGCCCGGGAGGAGGGCCTGAGCACCCGGCTGCTGGCGCTGGTGGTCCTGTTCTTTATAGTGGGCGTCATTATTGGGAAGATTGCCTTGTAGAGGCCGCACGCCGACGGCCACCGGATCCACGGAGCTGCGTATCACGGGATTCAACTTATCATAACCATGTGTAAAAAGAAATCAATGTATGACGACATCTCACAGGTCTTGCCTTTAATTACCCCTCCCTGCGCACACAGATACAACGTAATATAACAAGCTTTTAGAAAGTGTAAAATGTATAGTAATGATTAGGGGCAAAGAACAGTCTTGATTCAGCGATGGGGAAGCCAGGAATCCGACCACAGTGGCATCTTTTGTCATTTTAAACGTCTGTAACCTTGGCCCATGTCCTGGGTACCTCTCTTCAAACAGGACACTCCTTGCTGGTCCGGTGCTGGCCCTGGGGCCTCAGGAGCCCAGCGGGGAGCCCGTCACCCTGCTAGTAGCCCTCCACAGCACTTGCCCTCTCCCTCCCTCCTCTGGTCCAGTCTGGCTGCGTCCGCAGAGGACTGACTGGGGTCTGGTTTTTCCTTGGAAGCGTATGGTGGCGGGCGTGCATGGTAGAACCGGGAGCTGTGTGCTCACTGGTCGACCCCACACTTGGAAATAAAGTCACCACTTCGTTCTCGTTAGGGACCAAGCTGAGTCACTGTTGGTTCATGTCACGTGATTGAACTGTTACCCAGAGACGTTGAATGCATATTTAACTTATTTAATCGATTTCATCTTACATTTTCCGAGTGTCTGAGATTGTCCCCAATGAGCCCCGTTGGCTGAAGTGCACTGGCGCCGCCCGGTACCGGTGGGTCCAGCGGACACTGTGTGGAGCTGTGCTTGGCCCTTGGAGGCTGAGCGCTGGGCGTGCGTCCCGGAGGGCCATCGGGAGTGGTCTGTAAATAAAGACCCTTTGTGGACCCTGCATAGCAACAGTCAACTTACACCAGCCTCCAGTGGCGAGGAGCTGCCGTGTTCTTCCCGCACCCTCACCTCCCACGCGCACTCCTGCCCCCACAGCCAGGCGCCTGCCAAGTGGGCAGAGAGGGGCCAGCCCGGGGCAGGGTGGGGCTCCATCAGGGTGCAGCCCAGAGTTTGCCTGCGAGTAAATCTTACGCCGTGAAAGACCAATCCAATTCTGTTTGACTCTGTAACATCTTAAAAAGAAAAAAAAATTACTAAAATAAAGCCCCCAAATGAAGAATTCTTGTCTCTTGTCGTGTGGTTTAGACTGGTGGTGGGGGAGGTATAATGTGCATTGGAAAGTTGGTTTAACATAGGTCCTGGGTCCTTGGGAGGCATGTGGTCTTTCTGTGCACGGGTGCACACAGATGGTTTCAGCTGAGGAAGTGGATGAGCCACGGTCACCTGGTGACCTGACATCCCCACCCCGGGGACACCCTGCAGGAGGGGCAGGTCATACAGTGGCAGGTGTCGGGCTCCATCAGAAGAAAGTGTGTCAGCCTTGTGTTGGATCTGGTGTGAGATTGGCCAAGGTCTGAGGGAAGTCTGCTGTTGGCCTGGCGAGTTCCGTCTCTCCTCCCAGGTTGGTGGCCTACCCACCGCCGAGTCATGTCCGTGCACACAGGCCCAGCATCTGTCGGCAGCTGAGGACAGACATCCCCTCACACTCACTGTCCTCGGCGTCTAGACCCTGAGCCTGGGCGGGGAGTAGTTACAGATTGTACTAGATCGAGCAGGCTCAGTGACCTGGTCCTGTAGCTCTTCACCCCGGACGCCTTTCAGGTGAACAGGTGTCCATGTGCAGACAGCACGGGCTCAGCGTGGCTGCTCGGAAGGTCTCGTCCCCATCTGACCTTTCCACCAGGGCCTGACTGACCCTGTCACTAGAGGACATCTAGAAGAGGCCCATCCAAAGGGTTGGGATTGCAAGGGGCGGGGGTGTGTGGGAAGTGACGCCCTTGGGGGTGGGTGAGGGTGAGCAGGTTAGTGGTGCTCTGAACATTCCAGCTCAGTAAAGACACTCAGAGAGAGGGCACCGCCGATGGCCGGCCGTGGACAGAGCCTCCAGCGTGTTGGGGTGTCGTGCGTGGAGAGACAGTGCCTTAATTTCCAATGGGAAAGGTGGACTTGATGTCCTCTCACAAATGACTGGGAGTGAGCCGAGCTGAGAGTCCTGGGCTCTTGGCGTGGGTCTGTGAACATGAGAAGGTGCAGTCAAGCTGCCCCCTGCTGGCTCTGTGTGAGGCGCCCCGTTTAGGGATGAAGCTAGGATTTCGCCATCCTGTCTGTGGATGTGTATGAACTTTTGGGGGTGCAGTGG